CAGAGGAACATCTCCGGAACACCCTACGGCAATATCACCCCGATACCAAAGAGAAACATCACCGGAACACCCTACGTCAATAACACCCCGACACCACAGAGGAACATCCCCGGAACACTCTACACCAATAACACCCAGATACCACAGAGGAACATCCCCGGAACACCCTACATCAATAACACACCGTCATCACAGAGGAACATTCCCGGAACACCCTACACAAATAACACTCCGATACCACAGAGAAACATCACCGGAACACCCTGCATCAATAACAGACCATCACCACAGAGGAACATTCCCGGAACACCCTACACCAATAACACTCCGATACCACAGAGAAACATCTCCGGAACAGCCTACATCAATAACACACCGTCACAACAGAGGAACATCCCCGGAACACCCTACATCAATAACACCCCGATAACCACAGAGGAACATCTCCGGAACACCCTACGGCAATATCACCCCGATACCAAAGAGAAACATCACCGGAACACCCTACGTCAATAACAACCCGACACCACAGAGGAACATCCCCGGAACACTCTACACCAATAACACCCAGATACCACAGAGGAACATCCCCGGAACACCCTACATCAATAACACACCGTCATCACAGAGGAACATTCCCGGAACACCCTACACAAATAACACTCCGATACCACAGAGAAACATCACCGGAACACCCTGCATCAATAACAGACCATCACCACAGAGGAACATTCCCGGAACACCCTACACCAATAACACTCCGATACCACAGAGAAACATCACCGGAACACCCTGCATCAATAACACACCGTCACCACAGAGGACCATTCCCGGAACACCCTACATCAATTACACTCCGATACAACAGAGAAACATTACAGGAACAACCTACACCAATAACACACCGTCACCACAGAGGAACATCCCCGGAACACCCTACATCAATAACACACCGTCACAACAGAGGTACATCCCCGAAACACCCTACACGGATAACACTTCGATACAACAGAGGAACATCACTGGAACACCCTACACCAATAACACTCCGATACAACAGAGGAACATCACTGGAGCACCCTACGGCAACAACACCCCAACACTACAGAGGAATATCGCCGGAACACCCTTCTGCAATAACACTCGACACCACAGATGAACATCCCCGGAACATGTCAATAACCCCTGACAATACGTAAGCCCACCCTCGGTTCAAACCACAATATCACCACAGCATCCTACATCAATTACACCCCGACACCCGAGGAAACATCCTCGGTACAACCCAGAACAATATCACCTGAAATACCCCGACACCAAGGAGAGCCATCCTCAGAACATCTCAAAACAATATCACATCCACACCAACACAAATATACCCTTGACATACCCCAAAATACACTCTTAAAAAAATTCGGCTGTTCCACCTACGTCATCGCAATGCCACAGCTACGGAGACTGCATGTGTGCGTGCGTGCGTGCGTGCGTGCGTGCAGGATAAAGCCAACGGATAAAAACGATAGCCGTTGGGGTCATATGCGGATAGAGATGCAAATATCAAAGGTCAAGTAGGGACTACTTTTTGTGTTTATAAACAAACATGGCGTCGCCCTTGTCATTCGGCAATCGAGTCAGAACTACCCATCGGGAATCTGGATAAACTACAGAGATAATTGCTTTCATAAGCAAAAGAACAGTCTAATATACTTAAATCAGTGTCTAACTGTGACGTCGCTAAGGCATTTTATAAGTTTTGGCAACTTTGGACATATAAATTTCGAAACAATTTTGCGAGGGCACTAGCCCTAGCCATGCGGGATCAGTAGCCATATCTGTGCTTGTAGACCTCTGCGGCTTGAAACCTTTTCCACAAATTAAAATAGTTGGATTTGGCCGAAATATATTTGAATTGTTACCTTCTTTCGTTTTGTCGCTGTGTGTACATCTGATTGCACTTCAAACGTTTTGACAGGACAGGCCGACTGTCAACAATGTCTGATCGTGGCCATGACGTCTCATAGACTAGGGTTAGAGTAGCTTCCCTTTGACAAAGGGCAGTTACTCCAGCGGACAGACCGATGGATTGCCGCGAAATGCAAGTAAATTTTGTTGTTGTTATGCGTATATTTTGCTTAGCCACTGTTAAAGAAACAGATTTCAGTTGGAACTATATTGCCTACTGTCACAGTCCGACTGACACATCACTTACCCTGTGACGTAATAAATATTAATGCGCGCATTCCAGGAAAACTCGCAATGTTAATGTAATGTTTGTGAGGGAGGGAAAGCGATTTCCAAACACAAAATTAAAGAATGACATTATATGATAAAGAGGTTATCACGCTTGTGTGTTTGGGGATGGTAAATATCCTGTATTAGGAATAAACACTATGTATTTAGCTCGCCAAAGCTCGCTAAATACAATGTTTATTCCTAATACAGGATATTTACCATCCCCAAACACATTCGCGTGATAACCTCTATATATGTTTCAAGAAAAGCATGAAAAGTTGTACCGATAGTCCGATATAAGCCTTTATGATAGTATTGCTATTTGAGGCGTTTCTGATCTATAACATTATTTTACAGGGCATGATTATTATTTTAATTTGTGTAGGACTTTTCCCCATTTTCGTTCAAATTGTAATAGACCATTGTATTTTGTGGCAATGAATTTTTCAATCATAGCTGACTCGTTTAGTATTTTCCTAATATTATCAAAACTTGGTTTCTCACCCTTAAAGATATATATCTTTTACTGAATATTATAATATGATTTAGTAAAAGTTTATTTTTGTCGAATCCAAATATAACTGAGTATTTGGCAAGTGAGATCCTAGTATTGATATCAAGGTTTAAAAAGGTTTCCAGTTTGCTCCAAAAGTGTTTAACATATTCACATTCCCAATATACAATGTATATGTATAAGGCCTTCACCATTTAAATCACAAAAGGAGCAAATATCATTATCAACTAGTTTCATTTTTAATAATTCCTTTTTGGTGTAAATTATTCTATGGATAAACAGAATAATCAGTTTGTTCCTAACGATGAACATTCAATGTATGACACAGGCATACATCACTGCTAGAAATACATTGCCCTGGCGGTGAAGGTAAACAAGAAAACAACTTGCCAAGCTTGGAACAGAAATACATAGCAATATCCAGTAAATACTGCTTTAAGTACGTATACACATTTCACTGGTGATGGATGTATTGCTTACTGTAGTCGCTATGTATATGTTTCTAAATATGCAAGTTAATCAACATTAGTTCAAAAAAAATTCACATGGTTTAAGAAATGTCCTGGCATCTCATGGTTGGCTGTGAACGAATTGGCCCAGTGTGTGTCGTTGCACCCCAATCGCATAGGTCGATCTGGTTTTAGTTTCTGTTTTAGCCTTGTCTCGATGGCTATTTGTCATGTTTGCACAACCCAGCAGCTGTATAAAGCACGTCAGTAATGTATGTCACATTTGCACTACTCATCGGGTGTATAACATCGGTCCGTAATATATGCCAGGTTTGCACTACCCAGCAGCTGTAAAAGGGGTCAAAACTATGTGTCATCTTTGTACTACCCATCAGCCGTGTAACACGGGCCAGTACTGTGTGTCTTGTTTGCACTACCAAGCAGCCGTCTAACACGGGCCAGTACTGTGTGTCTTGTTTGCACTATCCAACAGCCGTGTAACACGGGCCAGTACTGTGTGTCTTGTTTGCACTATCCAACAGCCGTGTAACACGGGTCAGTACTGTGTGTCTTGTTTGCACTACCAAGCAGCCGTGTAACACGGGCCAGTACTGTGTGTCTTGTTTGCACTACCAAGCAGCCGTGCAACACGGGCCAGTACTGTGTGTCTTGTTTGCACTACCAAGCAGCCGTGTAACACGGGTCAGTACTGTGTGTCTTGTTTGCACTATCCAACAGCCGTGTAACACGGGCCTGTACTGTGTGTCTTGTTTTCACTATCCAACAGGCGTGTAACACGGGCCAGTACTATGTGTCTTGTTTACACTATCCAACAGGCGTGTAACACGGGTCAGTACTGTGTGTCATGTTTGCACTATTCAACAGGCGTGTAACACGGGTCAGTACTGTGTGTCATGTTTGCACTAACCAACAGGCGTGTAACACGGGTCAGTACTGTGTGTCATGTTTGCACTAACCAACAGGCGTGTAACACGGATCAGTACTGTGTTTTGTGTTCGCCCTGCCTAACAGCCGTGTAACATGACCCAGTTGGCCTTGTAGGAGTAATGTCACTATGGCCCTCAAGGAATAATGTCACTATGTCCTTGTGTGAGTACATGTAATGTTACTATATCCTTGTAGGAGTAATGTCACTATGGCCTAATGGGGGTAATGTCACTATGGTCTTGTTGGGGTAATGTCACCATGGCCTTGTTGGGGTAATGTCACTATGGCCTTGTGTGTGTGTGTAGGGGGGTGGGGGGTTGGGGGGGTGGGGGGGCCGGGAAGGGGGGGGGGGGCTGCTTAGTGTTGGAGAAAAGACCAAGATGATGTGAATCTTTACGTTGACCCCCATGTTAACATTGCTGGACAATGATCCTAAGTTCGTTGGCTTGAATCTCGGATTAGCACTGATTATGATCCTTGGTATGTCGTAAACGTCTATGATTAGCATTACTCTGACCGTTCCTCCTCGCGCCAAGATATCATACTACGAATAACATCACACAGAGATCGGACCCATGATGATCCGGTTTAGATATGATGTTCAGCATCCAATACTTGTCGTAATAGGCGACTAATTATACATGGGGTGGTCGGGATCGGGTGGTCAGGCTCGTTGACTTGGCTGATGCGTGTCATCTTATCCCAGTTGTGTAGATCGATGCTCATGGTGTCAATCACTGCAATGTCTGATCCAGACTCGAGTATTTACAGACCTGCGACATAAAGCTGGTATATTGCTAAAAATTCAATCCAACTAAGAGAATAAACATTGAAAACAAAACAGTGAACACAGAATACTGATTTTACAAAGCATGCTTTATTGATTTAATTGCATAGATTTGGACGTTTTCATGGTGGAATGCCAATCCGTCATTCTGAAAAATAAGTAACTATCAAATGATCATTCTATAGACGGCAATAAAAGCGACAAGATATTTCAGTAATCAAAAGAAATCTTTGCTTAAAGCAGAATCCATTGTACGATTCAGACTATAGCATGCGTTTATGAATCACTATCAAATACCGATGTTACCAGGTGAACAGGTGAGCATATCCTGTCCCACGGTGGCACCCATCACAAACACATGCAAAGGCATGTCAAATGTTCACCGGAAAAAAATACGTGAACATATGGTACAAGTCAAAACTAGAGGGAGGAGTGGCACCATGCACCTGTTGGCGAGTGCTGGCCCCATGTATTTGTGGGGGAGTAGTGTCACCATGATCTTATAGGCAAATAGTGTCCCCATGCTCCTATAGGCGAGACGTGACACGGGTGGCCCAGTCGTCTCAGGCGCCGTGATTCGCTTTGCAGAGTTGCGTCCCTTGGACAAGCTAGAAACCTATGATTGTGGGTTCGAATCCCGGTTCACCCCAATTATGTTTCTAGGTTTGTCAGCACCATACCCGTGCTCGTGGGTTTCACCGAAGTGGTAAACGTCTGAGACCTGCATCACTTCGGGCTTTCCTACCGCATTAAGCTGACACGCCGTGATATAACTGGAATACTGTTAAAGGCGTTTATCCCAACACACACACTCACTTATAGGCGAGTCGTGTCAGCAAGTATGTGTTGGCGAGTAGTGTCACCATGCTCTTATAGGCGAGTAGTGTCACCATGCTCTTATAGGCGAGTAGTGTCACCATGCTCTTATAGACGAATAATGTCACCAGGTATCTGTGTGCGAAAAGTGTCACCTTGCTCTCATAGACAAATTGTGTCACCAAGTATGTGTTGGCGAGGAGTGTCACCATGCTCTTATAGGCGAGTAGTGTCACCATGCTCTTATAGACAAGTGTCGTCACCAAGTATGTGTTGGCGAGTAGTGTCACCATGCTCTTATGGACGAGAACTTGTGAGTAGGTTGTGGAAAATGATTACCTTAACCTGTTGTTGGAGCAGGGGTAGGTGCAGGGGTAGGTGCAGGGGTAGGTGCAGGGGTAGTATCGGAGCTGCTGCTGGAGCTGCTGCTGGAACTTGGAGCAGGAGCAGGAGTTGCGGTTGGAGCAGGGGTAGGAGCAGGGGTAGGAGCAGGGGTAGGAGCAGGGGTAGTATCGGAGCTGCTGCTGGAGCTGCTGCCGGAACTTGAACGTGCTGTCAGACCTAAGAAGTAAAGTGGATATTAAACGGAACAGGCCATATTATCTTCCTCAGTTCTTTCTGAAAAAATGCAAGCTGTAATATGCGACTATGCTTGTCGTAAGAGGCGACTAACGGGTGGTCAGGCTCGCTGACTCGGTTGATGCATTATCCCAAATGCGTGGATCGATGTTCATGATGCCAATCACTTGATTGCCTGGTCCAGACTTGATCATTTACAGACCGCCGTCATATAGGTGGAATATTGCTGAATATGACGTTAAACAACAAACAAAGAAACAAACTATCTTTCTGTAAATTTACCGAAAATTTATCACCTCAAAATAAAAAGTCAACATTGAAGTGACACTATTTTCTGTAGCATGTGGAATGATGCATCATGTAAATGTGATTCTGCATACGTTTGACAGAATACCACTCATACGTCCTGTAATTGTATGAATGATAGAGCACAAACAGCAACGCCGATTACAGTTCAGAGCACAGAGTACACAGACTGATCAGTCCTATCATCTTACGTCTCGCAAGGACTGCCTCTTCTCTCCGATATGCGTGGACTTTAGACATGTCCCCTGAAACAGTTTAAGAAACGAACGTATCAGAAAACATAATTTTGTAATGTTCGGGTTAGACAAGAGCTGAAGATCAGCAGTATGAGTGGAATACATTTGTTTGCCTTTGCATGTGTTTGTGACTGATGCCACAGGTAGGCAGTTGTACTTTAAACAAAAGGGATGAGGGAAAACAGTTTGCATTTACTTTTCTCACCAAGCATACTGACTGGGAACACACTGTCAGTTTCCATGAGACAGGAATTAGCTAGGCAGGTTAAAAACAAGTATTATCTTTCAGCATGACAGTATGACAAGACAGGGATCGAGCCACCGACTTTCGGCTCTCTGGGCAGGCGCTCTATCTACTACACCTCGGAGGCGTTCCGTAATAGGCATAGGGATGTAGAACCAAGCATATAACGTCAACGCCACTGAATAATTAGTCTCAATTTTACGACGGAACAGATTCCACTGAGCGTTAAAAACAAAATAACAGCGAAAATTAAAAAATCACTCGTCATTGATACAGGCAAAATATGTTCAAGCAAGTTATGTCATAATACAACAGTTGCATCATCACTCGTAAAGACACAGGGATGTAAAACCAAGCAGGTTCAGTCATGATACAAGAGTTAAATTATCGCTCATAATAGACACAGGGATGTAAAACCAAGCAGGTTCAGTCATGATACTAGAGTTAAATTATCGCTCGTAATAGACACAGGGATGTCAAACCAAGTAGGTTCAGCCATGATACAAGAGTTAAATTATCGCTAGTAATAGACACAGGGATGTCAAACCAAACAGTCTCAGCCATGATTCAATAGTTAAATTATCGCTCGTAATAGACACAGGGATGTCAAACCAAGCAGGTTCAGTCATGATACAAGAGTTAAATTATCGCTCGTAATAGACACAGGGATGTAAAACCAATCAGGTTCAGTCATAATACAAGGGTTAAATTATTGTTCGTAATAGACAGAGGGATGTCAAACCAGTCAGGTTCAGTCATAATACAAGAGTTAAATTTTTGCTCGAAATAGACAGAGGGATATAAAACCAAGCAGGTTCAGTCATGATACAATAGTTAAATTATCGCTCGTAATAGACACAGGGATGTCAAACCAAGCAGGTTCAGTCATGATACTAGAGTTAAATTATTGCTCGTAATAGACACAGGGATGTCAAAACAATCAGGTTCAGTCATAATACAAGAGTTAAATTATTGCTCGAAATAGACAGAGGGATATAAAACCAAGCAGGTTCAGTCATGATACAAGAGTTAAATTATCGCTCGTAATAAACACAGGGATGAAAAACCAATCAGGTTCAGTCATAATACAAGAGTTAAATTATCGCTCGTAATAGACACAGGGATGTCAAACCAACAGGTTTTGTCAACCAGTCTCGATTATTTTCATTGGGCGTAAAAGGCAAAATACTTGTGTAAATTCGTCCAAGCAAATTCTGCCATGATACAACAAAAACACTATCACTCGTCCTTGATACAGGGTTGTAAAACCGAGCTGGTTTGACAGAATACAGAAGATTCCCACTGTGACCGGATCCCAAACTAAAGAAAACGATGAAACAACAAATGCACTACCAACTATAACAAGGCAAAAGGTCTCATGCTGAGTGATGCCATATATAATGCATAAATATATGCACCAAATTCAGCAAATTTTTAAGCTTAGTGTTCACGAATTTCATATTTTAGCACCTGTTTGTTTTGTGGCAGGCATTTTATGATAAACATATCCACGGCTAGAACGGTTTGTTGAAGTGAATCTAGAGATCACTACTGTAACCATACAAACTTGCACTTGTGGTAAGCAATAATACAAAGGTCAACATCACTTTAAAACAAAATGGATATCCGTTTACACTTTAAAACCAGCTTCGGACTCACATGTTTACTTCCTGCGCGGTATTTGACGAACTCTTCGGAAGATAATTAATGCAAACTCCTGAACGAGTTCTTCACGAAATGTGATCTTCTGCAAGATTGGTACATCTCTGCACCGAGTTTACACTTCTGCAAAATATTCCACGACCGAGGAATCTCGGAATACAGTGGAGACTGATAAAGAAGCAAGTGCCGCCCTGATACAGGGACATACTAACCATCAGCAGAGGATGCGGCCACAAAGAACACCAGGAGCAGCGCAATGAGACACACGACTTTCATCATCTGAAGATAACAGTTGAAACAAATATTAATATTGAATTACACCATCATTGTTTCTTGTCAAATAATATCATGATCGTTTGTGTGATAACACTTGATAGTTCACATGCACTACGTGTATGTACAATAAACATTGTGCTCAAGAAATGTACAAGTGAGTGAGTGAGTATGGTTTTACGCCGCATTTAGCAATATTCCAGCAATATCACGGCGGTGGACACCAGAAATGGGCTTCACACATTGTACCCATGTCGGGAATCGAACCCGGGTCTTCGGCGTGACGAGCGAACGCTTTAACCACTAGGCTACCCGACCGCCCCTGAAATGTACAAACAATGAACTTGGTTGCAACATTGTTCTTATGAAATGTACAAACAATGAACTTGGTTGCAACATTGTTCTTATGAAATGTACAAACAATGAACTTGGTTGCAACATTGTTCTTATGAAATGTACAAACAATGAACTTGGTTGCAACATTGTTCTTATGAAATGTACAAACAATGAACTTGAATGCAACATTGTTCTCATGAAATGTACAAACAATGAACTTTGTTGCAACATTGTTCTCGTGAAATGTACAAACAATGCATTTGGATGCAACATTGTTCTCATGAAATGTACAAACAATGAACTTTGTTGCAACATTGTTCTCGTGAAATGTACAAACAATGAACTTACAACATTGTTCTCATGAAATGTACAAACAGTGAACTTACAACATTGTTCTGATATCAAGTAGATCATCATTATAACAAATTATTTAGTATGTGTGATAACACATGCGTTTTCTATGTACTTCGTACATGTATGTAAACAATCTTAGTTTGTAGCAACATTGTTCTTACATATATAACACAATGTTATTTTCTACAACACTGTTCTCATTAATTCCACGAACAATAAAGTTGTTTGTAATATGGTTCTAATATATGTACTATACTATACTGGGGTAAAATAGATCTTCAGCAACGCATGCTTGCCGTAAAAAGTGACTATGCTTGTCGTAAGAGGCGACTAACGGGATCGGGTGGTCAGGCTCGCTGACTTGGTTCATGCATGTCATCGATACAGGTACATAAAGTTGCAAGAAAGACTACATGGCCGCTCTGTATGGTGCTGTCAGAACAACGATACTTCTCAGCACAAGGGGCATAACTTACAAAACGTTTCAGCACAATTAGACTAAAAATCACAACACATGCCTACTTACCTTGAACAGCTTCTTGTTTCACCTCCAGGAAAGCATCTGCGTTGAGGCAGTGTCGGCCTGTTGAATTTATGTAAACATATTCATACCACGTGAACACTCCAAACACCTATTCAGCGCATTTGTCAACCAACAGATGCTTGATTAATTGAATTCGTTTGGGCAATACAAATTGTTTATTGTAGACAATCGGTTTAATATTCAGCGGCTGCGTATGTGTAGACGATTAAACAACGCTGGGAAACTGTAACTCCAACTAGATAGGCATTAATGGGCAATGAAAACAGTTGTAAAAGCAAAATGTCTTAAAACAGGTGTCCTGAATGTCTCCTTAACTGTCTCTTTAGATGTATCCTATATCGATATTGACACCATATTGAAGTAATATGAGGTTTTGTGACATCACATTTTTTTCAGATTTCTATATTTCTGCTTTATCAGCTTTAAAGGTTTGGTAAGGTATAGTAGAGCCATAGAAATCATATAACATATCTGTCTTCTATTTGATGGACAGACACATGAATAGTATGGGCGGAGCATAAACGGCAGAAAGAGTATTTCCATAATGCACTTACGCTGGACTCGAACTCGAGGCCTATATTAGACATGCCTGAATCCACATGTAATTCTTGTCAAAAATGATAGCAAATGTGATCTGTAGTTTACTGAGGAAAGACGAAATGCTGGATTGCTTCATAGATGGTATGTATCTGAAATTTGGGGGTAAGCCATTTTGGCAAGAAGAGGGCAAACCCACAGGTAATAAAGGTTCGTCCTACCTTGCTGTACTGTTTCTTTATGGATGTGAATCTGAATTTCTGCTCGGAATAGCAAACTAGAAACAAGGTAATTTGGCCAAGACGTTTAACTTACGCTGCAGGTATATCGATGGTCTAATACTGATTATTAATGGTCAAATAGCCAATTCCCTTCCACTGATTTACCCATCTTGGCTAGAAATAAAAGAGATCAGCAAAACTGGATCATCTGTTTCATATTAAAATATTGCATAAAACTAAGAATGACAAAAACATATCCACAAGACTGTGACCAGAGAGAAGACGTCGACTTTTCAAATGTCAACTTGCCCTTTAATGCCGAGAAATATTCTAGCAGCTTTGTATCTACATTCAATAATTTTTTAGATACAATCTTACGACTAAGATTTCAAACAGCGTTATATAACTCTTGCTCAAAACTTGTTTGAGCGGGAGTACAACATGCAAGGCCTTAATAAAGCTGTCACATAATTTTACCGAACACATGTGAAGGATAGGTGAAATATTGACTTGCCTTTGTGCGTGTTTGTGACGGATGCGACCAGTGGGGCTGGATATGCTCACCTTTTTGCGAACACCTGTTGTCATCAGTATTTGATAGTATTTCATAAAAAAAATGTTAATATTTTTCGAACAAGTAATTTTTTTTATTTTTTTTTTTTGGGGGGGGGGAAACTGTCTTATGTTGGCTTTTCAGTAAGCACTGTAAAGCTTTGCTCCAGAAACGTTTGGGTGTAAGCCTTACAATGTATTTATAAGAGCCAACTACTTGAATTAAGCTGTAATTATAAGTGTCTACCGTTTCTAAACACAATAATGTCAGTTTTATAGAAATTGTATTTCCATGCCCAATTTAATGTAACAACCACTGAAAAAGCCTGTTTCCGCAGTTGGCCGTATACCTGCTTACAATATTATATCATTTGCAAACAAGATGGCTAGAATGTCATCCATTGCATCCGACAGGAACATTCCCTTATCAATACTCGCCCTCATGGAGTCACCCAGTTCTTTGATGTATATTCAGAAAAGGACAGGGTTAAGTATGCACCCTTCTCTGACACCGGTAGAGCAATAAAAGTCGTCAGATAGTTTTCCTCCTTGCTCAATACCGACAGAAAACTGAACGTTATCGTATAAACATTGAAGCACCTTGAAAATATGTCCATGTATACCGTTCTCCAAAAGAAAAGAAAACAACGTATTCATATCCCCCATATTAAATGCTTTATTTAACAGTAACCTTTACCATTCTTCCAAGTGGTGTGTTTTAAAACCATAAACTGTAATATAAATATATTATTGAAAGTAGAGTGGTGTTTCTTAAAACCGCCTTGATATTCTCCAGTAATATCAAAAGTTCGATAAAGTCTTCATATCACTCACAAAACAAATGTAATGATTTTTCTCATTGTATTCAGTAATTAAATACGTACGTTGAAACGGTACAATAATAGTACCAGTCCCAGCATGTGGAGGCTGACCATGCGGACCTCTGTGTGATATTTGTGTAAACAACAGGGCAAGGTATGGTGCATTTTTTTATCATTAATGTGTTTAAGGAATTCAAATTGGAGGCCTTAATTTTACTGTGATTTATTCAACTTTAAAATATCTATCGCCGATATCTAATCGGGCGGTGGGGTAGCCTTGTGGTTAAAGTGTTTGCTCGTCACGCCGAAGACCTGAGTTCGATTCCCGACATAGGTACAAAGTGTAAAACACATTTCTGGTGTCCCCCACCTTGATATTCCTGGATTATTTCAATTGTTGAGTATGGTTTTACGCCGCTTTTAGCAATAGTCCAGCAATATCACGGCGGGGGACACCAGAAATGGGCTTCACACATTGCACCCATGTCGGGAATCGAACCCGGGTCTTGGGCGTGACGAGCGAACGCTTTAACCACTAGGCTACACGACCGCCCCTACGGATTATTTCAAAGGCGGCGTAAAACCATACTCACTCACTGTAATGGGAGGTACATTATGGTTTATTTTTATACAAATAATACGCCGATAATTATCGAATATGTATTTGCTTATCATTAACATATAATGTGAACAGTATGCTGTTGATGGTCAGGGTTACATATCGATGTCATTCTTCTGAATCCCAATTATGTCTTTACAATGATAGATAAACTAAATATATAAACTTAAAATGGTCCGTACTGTTTGAATCATGACAAAATAGGCAATTAAAATAGTTCTTATACAGTAAACTACGGTTACAACGAACTCAAATAGACCATGCATGCTACTACCACCTCAGGACCCGTGAAGATCCAGAGTAGAATAGGTCTTCAGCAACCCATGCTTGCCGTAAAAGGCGGCGATGCTTGTCGTAAGAGGAGAATGACGGGTGGTCATTTCCCAATTGCGTGGATCGATGCTCATGCTGTTAATCACTGGACTATGAATACATGCAACTATGAATCTTCATACTGTACAGTTAGCCCTGTGGCAAGCACTTCGGCACCAAATGTGTTGTTTTCTTTTCCACTTTTAAGATCCACACTGTCCAACATGTTCGTGGTGTGTATTCGCCATGCATATCCCAATGCTCAGTTGATGTTAATAGGATATATTGGTCATGCATATCCCAATGCTCAGTTGATGTTAATAGGATATATTGGTCATGCATATCCCAATGCTCAGTTCAAGTTATTGGTATATATTGGTCATGCATATCCCAATGCTCAGTTCTTGTCAGTATTGTATATTGGTCATGCATATCCCAATACTCAGTTCATGTCAGTGGTATATATTGTCATGCATATCCCAATATTCAGTTCATGTTAGTGGTATATATTGTCATGCATATCCCAATATTCAGTTCATGTTAGTGGTATATATTGCCATGCATATCCCAATGCTCAGTTCATGTTAGTGGTTTGTATTGGCCATGCATATCCCAATGCTAATTTCATGTTAGTGGGATATATTGGTCATGCATATCCCAATGCTCAGTTCATGTTAGTGGGATATATTGGTCATGCGTATCCAAATACTCAGTTCATGCTAGAGGGATATATTGGTCATGCATATCCCAATGCTCAGTTCATGTTCGTGGCGTGTATTGGTCATGCATATCCCAATGCTCAGTTCATGTTAGTGGTATATATTGGTCATGCATATCCCAATGCTCAGTTCAGGTTAGTGGGATATATTGGTCATGCATATCCCAATGCTCAGTTCATGTTAGTGGTGTATATTGGTTATGCATATCCAAATGCTCAGTTCATGTTAGTGGGATTTATTGGTCATGCATATCTCAATGCTCAGTTCATGTTAGTGGTGTATATTGGTCATGCATATCCCAATGCTCAGTTCATGTTAGTGGGATATATTGGTCATGCATATCCCAATACTCAGTTCATGTTAGTGGGATATATTGGTCATGCATATCCCAATACTCAGTTCATGTTAGTGGTATATATTGGTCATGCATATCCCAATGCTCAGTTCATGTTAGTGGGATATATTGGTCATGCGTATCCAAATGCTCAGTTCATGCTAGAGGGATATATTGGTCATGCATATCCCAATGCTCAGTTCATGCTAGAGGGATATATTGGTCATGCATATCCCAATGCTCAGTTCATGTTAGTGGTATATATTGGTCATGCAAATCCCAATGCTCAGTTCTTGTCAGTGGTGTATATTGGTCATGCATATCCCAATATTCAGTTCATGTTAGTGGTATATATTGTCATGCATATCCCAATACTCAGTTCATGTTAGTGGTATATATTGTCATGCATATCCCAATATTCAGTTCATGTTAGTGGTATATATTGCCATGCATATCCCAATGCTCAGTTCATGTTAGTGGTTTGTATTGGCCATGCATATCCCAATGCTAATTTCATGTTAGTGGGATATATTGGTCATGCATATCCCAATGCTCAGTTCATGTTAGTGGGATATATTGGTCATGCGTATCCAAATACTCAGTTCATGCTAGAGGGATATATTGGTCATGCATATCCAAATGCTCAGTTCATGTTAGTGGTGTATATTGGTCATGCATATCCCAATGCTCAGTTCATGTTCGTGGTATATATTGGTCATGCATATCCCAATGCTCAGTTCATGTTAGTGGTATATATTGGTCATGCATATCCCAATGCTCAGTTCATGTTAGTGGTATATATTGGTCATGCAAATCCCAATGCTCAGTTCATGTTAGTGGGATATATTGGTCATGCATATCCCAATGCTCAGTTCATGTTAGTGGTATATATTGGTCATGCATATCCCAATGCTCAGTTCATGTTAGTGGTATATATTGG